TATTAATCTTGCATGATGTTTTTCTAAAATATAGCTATCAGTACTCTTATTTGGTTTTTAGTACAATTTGAACTTATTAACTTATTTTGCTTTAATGTATCATATTTTACCGTTGTATGACTGACTTGTGCTTTTCAAGCTTTCATGACAGTATCAATTGCATGTAATTGTCTAAATATTAATAATTGCTTTATATCATATTGTATGGCTAGGCCTATCGTTTGACTAGATTAATCAAATCACAAAACATGTATTTATAATCATAGGGAGTGTTGTGTCTGATGAGGCTACGTTGTAGGTAATCTCAGCCAAGATCGATTAGTAAAGTAGGCTAACCAGATGGTAAAAACTAGGTAGGCTATCAAGGTGAGCACTTTTTTGTCTAAAAACGCCGTGTGATTTCGCAAACTGTCATAACCTAACCTAACTAACCAAACATGCTGTTAATGAAAAAATCAAATGAAGGTTTACTATCAAAAAAATTGTTCTGTTTATAAAATAAAATTATAACTTAAATGCCTCAAATTCTTAAAAAAAGATGTACAGTTAAGAAGTAATCACATTAACCTATAAGCTGGAATTCTCAAAAAAAAAACCAACTTTTGCTGGATCACTAATTCTAAGGAAATTGCCTGCCTCTATAAAGGAGGAATCAAATTATAAATTATTTAAATCTAAATTAAAAAAACATTTAATAGAAAAGGCGCCTTATACAATGGAGGAACTCATTGAATAAATACCTATTCATACTTAAAATGTATTTATATCTTTAAGCTAGTTTAGTACTTTATACTTGACACTATTTTTGTACCCATGTACATGTAAGGAAAATAAAGATGTTTTGATTTGATTTGATTTGATTTGACATTCTAAGCAAAATCTTTGACAAAATGTTAGTGTCACCGGTGGGATTCGATCTGATAAGTATTGATAAGTATATTTGATTATGAGCCGAACACTATCCACTTCACCTCGAACACCGATGGCAGCACTTCGTACCGTCACGGTACGGTAACAGTGTTTATTATATGTATTCATTCAACCATTAATCGATTGAATTGAGCCTATTTGGTCCGAAATAATATAAATACTAAGTATTTCGTTATTGAACCGATAGTACATGGCGGTTTTTGTACGAAACTTTGCTCACCCTCTTTAAAAGATTAAAAAAATTTGATCATTTCACTAAAAAAAAAAAAATTAAGTTAGATTCTGACACCTAATGTTTGAAGTACGGTAGCCTAAAAATATATTGACTACCGGTTTGAAAAATATATTGGTAGGCCTATATACGGTTTGATATAATGGCAAAAAATAGCTTTTGGTTTTGTTGTATGTTAAGGAAATCGTTCGACGAATGACTAATTTTACAACAGCCTACCGCATTGTTTATGTTGAGTTTTTGTTTTCATTAACTAAAAATAAGGCAATAAATAGCAATATTAAAATATTTCTAGATAATTTGAAGCTTGTATAAGAGTAAATAAATAAGCCTTTATACTCTCTTCTGACTCTATCTCTGCCTAACTAAATTTTTAAATACATGCCTTTCATACATAGGCTAATATAGGTTGATATATGTCTTGTATTATATTTGGCTATTAATACAAGTAGGCCCTATTCAATAATTTAGTCAATGGTAATATGACAAATTTTTTTGACAATGGAGAAAATAGTGGAAAAGGGAGTATTTAAATTACAGACCTTGCAAACCATTAACAATCTCCAAGGCTACGTTTAACTTAAAAATAGTTATTTTAAAGTGGGCCATGAGGCACAATTTTTATTTCAGCTGCGGTTTTCAATACGGACGAAATGAGAACATTCTATTGGCTGTCATGGTCTGACGTCACTCTCTTCTCTTGAGAGAACACCATTAGCGTAACGATACGAAGTTCAACTATCGATGTTGTGTAGTGGATAGAGTCCTCAAATGATGTCTAAGAGTTATCCAGTTTGAATCCCTCCGGTGACACTAACTTTTTGTTAAAGATTTTGCTTAGAATGTGATTAGCCTACTTCATTTTTTGTTAGAAATTGAGGCACTTATATGATTTTATTTTATGAACAGAACAATTTTTTCGAGTAGGTAGTAAACCATCATTAGATTTTTATCTTATATCTCTTTTTATATTATTAGCAAGTTTGGTTAGTTATGTTAGTTTATGACGGTTAGGTTTTATATTTTTTTTTTCATTTTTTACTCTCATTTCGTTCACAACGAAACCGCAGTATTAGCTGAAATAAAAATTGTGCGCCGTGAGAGCGTGGAACATAGATCAAACATGCCTGATGTACTTCATAAGCTCTATCCAACCCTCAACAACATGAAATAGCAGCTGGTCTTGTTCTATACTTTCAGATACTCCCAATTCCCATGCAAAATAAACTTGACACAAACACTTTTTTTAGGAAAGGGAAGGATGCCGCTACAGTCGAAGAGAATCGGGCCTATGGAGATGTCAGCGAAGATATAAACACTTTTCAACAATCACTAGGCCTATACATTGAGCCTACAGTTATTAATTTTTAAATCTTGAAAGTGATTTACTTTTGTTTATAGATTTGATATATTATAAGAATATTTTGTTCGCTTTGGTTTTTTGGTCTTTTTTGTGATTTGACCTTCTATAAAAAATGTATATTTTGGGCTTTGTGAAAGAATAAACAATATATTTTTAAATTGTGACGTTATTTTTTACCTTTTTCTTGAAATAAATATACATAACTTATGTCAACAATATTCCACAGAAACACTTTTTGCAGATTTTATGAAATAGCATAGCCTACTGTTATTCAAGAATAAAATAATATATTAATAATAGTTTTGTCAGTCAATAGAGTATTACCTAAAATGAGTTTTTTTTTGTTTTGACATTTTTGTTATGCATTTATGCAGGCCGAAGTATTTTGAATACTTAGATTGTTTAACAATTATTTTGTGAATTAATACTTTAATTATGTTGTAAAAACAATAGTCAAAATACTGTTAATGTTAACAAAATATTGTTAATTGATTATTTCTACATTTTTTGCAAAATTGTCTTAATATTGGCTTAATATTTCCATATAACATTGAAACAACGTTGAAAAATATTAAGACAACATTGTCAAGACAATGTATTTTGTTTCACGAAAACGTTGTAACAATATTGTTACCACGTTGATCAATATTTGGGCAATATTGAATGAATGTTGTTTAAATGTTGAAAACAACATTGAAACAACGTTGAAAAATATTAAGACAACATTGTCAAGACAATGTATTTTGTTTCACGAAAACGTTGTAACAATATTGTTACCACGTTGATCAATATTGGGGCAATATTAAATTAATGTTGATAAAATGTTGACAACAACATTGAAACAACATTGTTATGCTACTTGGGCAACACCTAAGTACATTATACTGTAGATCATGCAGCAAGTGTTTGGTTATACACAGATGGTCATCAAATGTATCACACTGACCACAACACCTCCCTTGCTACATGTGATATAATGACGACAACACCTAAGTACATTAGACCATGCAGCAAGTGTTTGGTTCTACACAGATGGACATCAAATGTATCACAGTGACCACAACACCTCCCTTGCTACATGTGATATAATGACGACAACACCTAAGCACATTATACTGTAGACCATGCAGCAAGTGTTTGATATAAACATGTGATATAATGACAACACAGTACAACACAGTACATTATACTGTAGACCATGCAGCAAGTGGTTGGTTATACATGGATGGTCATCAAATGCATCACACTGACCACAACACCTCCCTTGCTACATGTGATATAATGACGACAACACCTAAGTACATTATACTGTAGACCATGCAGCAAGTGTTTGGTTATACACAGATGGTCATCAAATGTATCACACTGACCACAACACCTCCCTTGCTACATGTGATATAATGACGACAACACCTAAGTACATCATACTATAGACCATGCAGCAAGTGTTTGGTTCTACACAGATGGTCATCAAATGTATCACACTGACCACAACACCTCCCTTGCTACATGTGATATAATGACGACAACACCTAAGTACATTATACTGTAGACCATGCAGCAAGTGTTTGGTTATACACAGATGGTCATCAAATGTATCACACTGACCACAACACCTCCCTTGCTACATGTGATATAATGACGACAACACCTAAGTACATTATACTGTAGACCATGCAGCAAGTGTTTAGTTATACACGGATGGTCATCGAATGTATCACACTGACCACAACACCTCCCTTGCTACATGTGATTTAATGACTACATCACCGAAGTTCTGTACTGTAGACCATGCAGCAAGTGGTTGGTTTACTAATTACTAGTCTTTAACATATAGACATATTCTTATCTCAAAAATGCTTTCGGGCTCCACCCCAGTGGCTGTGGAGTTTCCCATGTTAACCTTATGAGTACATTCAAAAGGAATTAAAGAATTTTGTAAGCTGTTCTAACTGCACAAGTTGGTTATATGATATTAAATAGAATAAAAAATTTAGGTTTACCAACAGACTGCAGCACTATTATTTTTTTTTACATTTATGACAACAGCTAATTCGAACCAACTAGCTACAAAAAACTGTGGTACACAGAACTTTCTTTTTCTATGGCTCAGGTGCAGTGGTAGAACATTATGGCTATGGTAAGTGTGCTATACTATAGCCTACCATACTAATTAAAATAACAAAATTTTCTTAAGCCTAAGTAGAATTTTATACTTATATGCCAACCCCGTACGAAGGACACCCACTCTGCTAGTTATGTATATTTAGTGAAATTAGTTTCGACCTCACTGCAACTGATCATAAAGTTATTTGACACAGTGAAAGTCTCACACTGACGATATAATTACGTTTCAGTACCTTGCCAAGTTAAGTAAGTGTAACTATCTGAAATCTAGTTAAAGAACAATAGAAGTGTTTAGCAGCTGCAGTTTACGATGTATTAACTTTTACTTCATTTTGACTGTTTTTACTGTCGAAGTCACACTCATTCCAAATGTTGATTGATCAGATATTTACGTTGCTGTTACATTTCTTATTGATTTTGTATTTTGTCTCCTCAGAAGGTAATTTAGTTTAAGATTGTATTTTAGCAAATCTTGATCTAACTTTCTAATGTGTAATAACTTTGTAGTCTTGTGGTTCCTCTCGGTGGCCTTTCTCGCTATTGGGGACTTCATCCACCAAAAGCCATACTATTTTATTAATATCAATAAAACAGTATTACATAAATATTTGGTGTTATATTATGAAAACTTTACGTTTTTATAGGAACCGCTTCGAATGGTGATTTCACTTGTTCAAGTGGTGAAGATGACGATACAGGAACCAGAAGCTTCCTGCTCGACCCTTTGACTCATTGGCCCAATGGGGTTGTACCTTACACAATAGATCCTGCATTCTGTAAGTGTTGATAATTTGCATTTTGACTATACTTATTATAACAGTATGTAACTAGTTTGAACACCTTATTATTAATTAACTTGTTCATTGGACCACTAGTTTCGAAGCTTAACTGCTACATTTGTGGAATTTAAGCGTACGTTTTAAGACCTTTAACATTGATTACGAGGGACTATAGACATACAATAATTATTTAAAAATCAAGGAGGCAAAACAAGAAAAACTACGTTGAACGGTAACGCGGAAGGTTAATAGTAAAGACATGGACTGTATGTAGTTTTGACGATCTATTTTAAAATCAATTAATGCATTCATAAAACTAGTCATCAGTGGTTTGAACAAGTGGACTTTTGAAGACAAGTAATTTAACCTTGATATTCGTATTCATTGCGACAACCATTGGAGCATAACATAAATTGAACTTTCTATTTGCACAGGCAGATTTTCCGCTCGTATTGAGGACTCGAGTAAAGAAACCAGAACTTTTTGTGAGAATTATTTATTTTTTTTATTCAAGTTTTACAACTAAATATTATTACGTTTCAGCACAAAAACAAGTAAAAATCCTAAAGAAAAATATGAATTTATTAGCAAGAGTATCTTGTGTGAGGTGGATTCCTCGGACGAACCAGAAAGACTACGTTGAAATAGTTCGCAGCCAAGTTCCAGAATCGTAAGTTGAAATATATTTATTTTGTAGCTAGGTATGCACTTACAAAGTAATACATCACATTTAAGCTACTGGCACAAGGGTATGTCAACATATCTAGGGAATAGACAATTTGCGTAAGCTACTTTGTTAGTTAAGGGTGGAGTGAGCTAGTATACGCTAGTACTTGACCCCAAGCGCGACACATCGATAGGTATTGGAGCTGCTTTACTTATATTATTTTGGTTTCTATCGATGAAAGTGCCACTGGTGTAGGCACAAGCAAGGATATTTTGCGACTAAGGTTTTGATCAATGTCTGATTAATTATTTAACTCTCATAACCTCGTTCCTCAACCCCTCAACGTAAAGGAGCGATTTCGAAGGAAATGGTCTTACAACACAGCAAATTTTGATGGCAGATTCAGTAATTCAGAAACTGTAAAACCGATTTTTTTTGTAATAATTTATGCGATTTCCTTCAAAACAACGACTGTTTAAAAATTGTGTAACCTGACATCAGTAATACCTAAAAATCTTTCATAAGTTATATAAAGTATATAAAGTAATTTTCTCGTATTACAAAGAAAACTGAGGATCACATCTATAAATTTATGTATGTTAAATCATTGTTCAACTTCAGTAAAGGTTCATACTATTGACTGGTTTTAGCTACGAAGGATTCTAAAGTGTTTCATAAAAAAACCAGTAAAGACCACCCTTACCTTGACCACCTTAACGCCGTCAACTACTGTAGTTTATGCTCAAACTACATCCGCTACAACATCCGCTATGGACGTCTGGGTTTGGATCTCATTATCTAACCCTTTTCCGATGTGATAATGCCATGGATCATGTTCGATGATTTGAAACCAACATTAAGCTGCAAGTTCAGCTGTTTTGAATCAACAACGGACAAATGTCTCAGGTATTGAGATATATATTCATTATGATGACATCCGGAATCGTCAAAATAATATTTTACTAGGCAAATAACTGTGGAGATGGAAAGTTCAATTGTGGACGGAAGGGAATCACTTTTGTTTTGATGAATTCCATGGTCTAAGCTCTCACTTCTCCGTCTGTAGTTGCAGCACAACTGTCGGTCGAATAGGAGGTAGACAGACCCTCGACCTGGGAGATAGATGCTTCGGCGCGATGCATGGCTACAGAGGAGCCATCCGCCACGAGATGTTACACACCCTGGGCTTCATACACGAGCAACAGAGATTGGACAGGGACTGCTTCGTCTGGGTCTACAACAAGGCTATATGTAAGTCGGACAGATAACAGAAGCGCGTGTGGACCTGGCAAGTTACAGCATGCCTTAAATGTAACTTAATAACTTATTAGCTCTACCAAATTACCAAATACAATTCGCTTAAGTCACGACACAGCCTCTGCATGGTAAGTTATTAAATAAAATAAGATTATACAAAAAAATGTCGTCGTGGTTATACTTTCAAAATTGCATGGTCCATGAGAACGTTTTTTTAAAGCTTTCTCTTGAAGCCCCTAAAATTTTGCATTAGATAAAGAAAAGGATGAAGTAAATTGTAAAACTTATTACTTTGTAAACTATGTTTCTCTGAGAGAATGCTGTTCACTGACAATTCGTTTGATGAGTGAGCTGTTATGCAGTGATTAACAATAAGTAGATAATATTTAAGTTTTTACGAGAATGAAGGTTTTGGGACGATGATCAAGGGAGACCTCATAATTGTAGTTAAGTATTGCCTGAAAGATGTTTTTCTATCCACCATGACCACTATACTGTCAGCCTTCTTCTGGACTCGCTAATTAATTTTTAAACTTGGTTAAACATTAAATACAATTGAGGAAAACGTACAAATTTTCAGCTAATTCTCTTTGCTCTTTTCCGTGGAAAATAATGTTAAGCTTTTAGGATAAACTAACGTATGTAAGGAAACTATTGGATTTCAACAGGATACTGTTTGGTAGTAATTTTACTTTATTTTTTCAGTAGAAAGTCCGTATGACTACGCAGTCACACTGGACACATCCACGTCATTTCCGTACGATGTGAAGAGCATCATGCACTACCCACCAAGCAAAAATATGGTTCCTATACAATTAGGGGTGAGTAAATTTAATACATTTTTCATCCCCGTATGTTTGTGAAGCAACATTCTATAAAGAGTGTATAGCTTATGAGGACCTTTTAATACAATGATAATAACCTAAATGACAGGGTTAGTTTGATGTCCATTTTTACTCAGAGGGTACTTAACCGTCCCTCTTAGAATTAAAGGTGCCAATACATAGTAAGTATATACTGTTGTAACGTAAACTAAATTGAACTCTTGTTAACTTTCAGGAAGACATCGGTAACAAAGCCGGCCTTCTATCCAAAATGGACAAAATGAAACTGAACTATATGTATTGCGGGGGAAAGTCTTACTGCGAGATAGATCCATTTAACTGCAAAATACTCAGACAAGTTGTGAAGAGGTGTAAACTAATGCTGGATAAATCGGATAACTATGTGACTCATGAATACCGTGGATGAGTTCCTTACCATTTCTGTTTCTACTTCCAAAGATAAAATAAAATCTAATTATTACTAAGGATATTGAATATACATAAGGATTATTGATAAGTTTGATATAACATAGAAATACAGAATCTAATTGTTTTACATTCAATAATGTGATTGATCAATTTTGGTGATCAAAGTTTGTTTGTTCATTTTTTTATTTAAAAAAATCAAAAGTGTCTTCATGTATTCAGAAAACGTGCTGATTCATCTATGCAAATAAAAAACTTGAACTTATTAAAAGTAAATTGAACATTTTTGTTTACGGTTCCTTTGACAATCAGTTATCCTGAAGGAATTGGATTAGCCTATAGATGTAAGGGAAGGAGTTCTATAGGGACGATAAGTATCCTTACGTAAGAAAAACCTATACAAATTTTCGATTTTTGGATGTAGCCTACAAGTACAACTTAAAATGGTTTAGAACAACTAGATCATAGCACTAATTCATTGGTAAAAGCCATTGATCCTTAATAAGATTCTAATCTTGGTCAGAAAGAACGCACTTCTAGTTTACCATATATTTCTTCATAGTCACTTGCAAACCAATAAATCCTTAAGAAGATGGTTAAAGGAAACTAATACAAATAAATGACTTAGTTTACAAGGGTTCACCCATCGTTACTGTCAAGACACCTTATTTAAAAAACTAGAACTGAGCTCATTGAGGAAATAAATTATCACAGTAGTGTTTATAGTATTACCGCAGCTAATTCTGTTCACATCAATGTACATGTACTTGTACTATTTATCACTTTTAATATCTTTGATGAGGTTGAAGATATTATGGATATAAAAATTCATCCAACATAATACGAGATATAAAATATAATATCTGGATTAGTCAGACCAATATCACAACTGATGAAGACCACACAATGGAGTCAATTTGTTCCACGTAATATATCCTTTATTCCCTCTGGAGCTTTGTCAGGGTTTTAAGAGATATGGGATGAGGTTTTGGTTCCTGGCTATATTACTCGTGGTATATTTTTATTTTTCCTAGACATCTTTCCAAAATGAAGGTAATCAATTTCTGAAATCAGAACCGTATTCTGCAAGGCAAACATTTTAACAAGAGGTAGAATTCTTTTATACATTTCAAATACATTAAAGGTGTATGTATTAAAGTAAATGCATCTATTTACTTGGCAACCATCAATTATTTGAACACGTTCTTTGAGTTCTATTAAAAGGACAAGAGTAATTTTACTTATTTATTCGGTATTTTATCATACATCATTTTAGAAAGTAGCACCTTTAAATGTTGTTTAGATAGGTCGAATAATAATACTGTATTGTATGTTTGTGAAATATTGATTTGTGAAATTATAATACAGTATTTTAATGACGACACATTAGACATCCAGTGTCATTTAGCATGCGTTGAATAAAAAAGATATTCAGCCAATCGTTATTAATCACCAACATATAATTTTTGAAATACAGATACTGATAAAATATAAAATTACTTTTACGCATAACAATGTTTCCAATATAGACACGTTTTCCTAATATTTAATGTTTGAATATTTTAGGTGGATGAAAAATAAAACCAAGTTAATAAAAACATGAACAAAAAATTCAAAATAAAAGATTACACAGGCGATAAATACTCTTCAAGAATATTTAATAAGTTCACTGAAGTATTTTCATGAAAGCAGTGTTAAGCTTTTGAATTGTTACTAAAGAAGTGTTTGGTGATTGAAAGTTTAAGACTCGAGGCTTCAAAACAAACTCTTAAAACCATTAAAACTTTTTGGAATTCCAATAAACTGTTAACATCAGTACTTCCACTCTTTTACTTATCTTTGTTTAATGACTTGGAATATATTTTTCCAAGAAAAATAAACGCGCTTGATGCAGACTTGCTCCATATTCTACTAAAATATTTATTAGCAACAAAGAAAAAAGAAATAATATAAATGGTTTTAGGTGTTGGAGGCTTCAAATGCGGAGAGAGCAAATTTTGCACAAAAAGGCCTATTATTTTAAATGTGCATTTACTTAAACTACATATTGTGCTGGAAGACCGACATTGTAAACAAATTTAAATGCATCGGTGTTTTACGGGATGTAAATTTAGATCCCTAAGCTAGAAGTCTCGAGCTTTAATCTCACCGAAAGACCGTTGTGTCATCGTGCAGAATACACCTTTGTTTTTTGTTAAATTAATTATTTAATTATTTACTTCTAAGTTCTTGTAAGAACCACTATATTCTAAATGTATCGATGGGCATAAATGTCAAAGTTAATATATGTAATAAAGGAGAATGATCTTGAGCTTTGAATTATTAACAAATGACAACAACAAAAAATATACTTAAGTGAAATATTAATCGTTACAATAGTTTTGAACATTACTTTACTAATTTTAATGATATGACAACGACAATGAGATTTGACTAATTTAATGTGTCGAATGTACAATATTTATATATATAAAACAACATATCAACACTTAACATCTCAATTATAAATAAATATATTACAGTTTGTAGAGTTCAGTGATTATTTAAAACATATAAATCAATTTTGTAAAATAATATAACATATTAATAATATCATAATATAATACTGGAATGATTCTGATTCAAAATGATGAATGTTTTAATGTCAAAACTAATTAAAATGTAATTAAAAAATTATATAGTTAATAAAACTACGAGTTAATTGTTTGGAAACCACTAAAGAGATTAGGTTTTTATTTAGCATGTTGTATGAGTTCAGAGTATCATTTTGTTAAAATCAATAATGGATTGTTAATGAAGAACGTAATTTAATTACTTAAAATCAATTTGGCCAAGTTTTATGCATTTTAATCATGTTTTGGTTGTTGTTTTCATATTTAGTATTTAAAACAAAATCACTATTAACATTTGTAGGAAATGCTTAAATTATAATAAATAATAACGATGTATTATGTTGTGTTATTATGCGAAATAAAAAAAAATTTGTTTCTAGATATTAAATCATAAGCATTAGGCGAATTATAAACAACCAATTAAACTATTCGGTCTTGATTAGAAATATTCTTTTGGTTAAAAGTGCATGAAATGTTCTCGACTAACATTTTGACTTTCACTAGTGTTTAGTGTATTTTATACATTGTCGGGTGCAGAGGAAATAAACTTTTAGCCACGGTCACAACTGTCCTAAATGGTTATGCCATAAAACGATCACACTTCCCCAGGGAATGTAACTTACCGTATAGTTCATCACAAAAACGAATTGCTCGAAAATCCGTTATGATGTATCGGTTTGTAAATCTATTGGGTTGAGCTGTCACGATATTAAAGGAATTATCCAATGGTGTATTTACATTAAGTTTTGTAACAAAAAAATCATATTATGATTTGGCATATTATAAGATATATTTTTGATTTATTACCAGACTTAAATTACTAATTTTACAATAAGTTGAGACTAAACAAAATGTCACTAGAAACTCTGTCCTATAAAGTGACCAAATTAGTCCTTTTATGAAGGTATATTTTCAAGATATTTTTTGTTTTAGATATTGCTGTAGGTTTATCATCAAGTTTAAAGTAGTTATTGACATGTATTATGAAAATGTAAACTACTATAATTTTAAAAAATCGAAACAATATTATTTTAAAGGAGTTAACACATTTTAAATCTTATCTTAAATATACCGATTATGCATAAATGTTCCATTTAATATACATGTTATTGATGTGCATAATTGTAATTCATTAAGAAGACGTCCAGACTCTTTAAAACGTGTCCTATGAATTTTAATGAGGTTAACATATTTTTGTCAAGTACCGGATCCTCGCCAGGACATTATAAGTGGTCCGCTATTGAAACAAAGACCTCGTTTGGAGATGAAGTGTTCTCATCATGATATGAATACACGAGTCAAAGAAACTTTTATCCTGATAGTGATTACATTTCAAGTATAGTATTGTATAAGAAAGAATGTCTTCTTAAACTCGTTAATGAGAATAGCCTTATCCAATAAAAGGAATTATAATTAACATTGAATATAACCTTATAACGTCAACCCCTTGACCCACAAGTAATCATTTATTAAAAGGTCAAACGGTTAATAACAGCTAGAATTTTTTTCATATTATTAGTGTGTTACAGTATAAAAAAAAAAAAAAAAAAAAAAAAAAAAAAAAAAAAAAAAACTACAATAAGTTGATTCTGTCAAGTTGCCAAGGAAGTACTTAGGATTACTTCATACTTTCACTTAATCCCATACGTTATGTTTTTAGTCTTTTTAAAAACCCTTTTAATGTAATTTCGTTTTTTGTACTCATTAAACATCACTTAAACGGAATTAAATTTCTGTCCCCACATATGCCCCTGACGTTATTAATTTCAACTATCTGTTGATAACATAATAATATACCAGAATTGAAAATTACCCATTAAATATAACCGTCCATTACCAGACCAAGCATTGTCATTCAATTTCAATGTAAACCGATTTCGGAATGGTTTAAATATAGTTTGAATGTCTCTTCCGGTTTTCAAGATGAGAAGTTGGTTTTCAATGAAACAATAAATGCTAGCTTTCGTATTTTGTGCTTTTGACATTAATTCTAAGTTAACCGAGAACCAGAAAGCAATCCATTAAAACTTTTACGTCGTTACACTCAGCGGTGTTTAGATATCACTCGTTGATAGCCTCACTGGTATATTTTTGGTAAAAGTATTTTTTTAAAGATCTACTATATACTTTCAATAGTTGATTATTAAACCTATTAAAAAATATCTTCGATAAGGATTTTAAATAGGCTACTTTTAAATGGTATTGGAAATAGACAAGTGTTTAAATGAAATTACTCTGTGAAATACAGACCAGCTTACATATTGATATCCCTGTTTTCTTTACCCCAGTGATGATTATCTAATATGCATTGATGTATGGATGATGTATGTATGGATATGTAAGGTTTAGTTTAATTGATAATCTATGGTAAATGAGAATCAACGGGGTTTTTTGCAAGTTGAAAGAAAGTATGAATTGTAGGTGTCAGTTAACTTGTTTTCCACAGATCGGGTTTCCTTAGATCTTTCATGACAATTCCATGACAAGTTGGAATTTTAGGAGTAAATGTAGGAAATACATTTCGAACTTCGCTTGGTTAGGATCAAAAGGCCTAATTTATTTTTAATTTACTAAACGCTTTGAGTAAAAAAAAAATACCATATTGAGTCGTACTCAAAATAAATTT